GCGTTTGGGGAACATCTGTAACGGTTCCCGTTACAATTAGCCCTAGTTTTCTCCGCATTTCAAACATATCTAAATTTCTAAGTCAGTATTGGATGAATTATTTACCTCATTCTTCATAAGAATTTTTAATTTTATGTTTATTGTGCGTTTTTCTTTAACCTTAAGACCGTCTTTTTAATATACTATTATATTAATGTTAAATATTTTTTATTTAAATTGTTTTAACTCCGCAGAAACGCACAGCGACTTCGAATTTCATATCATGTAATCGACCATCTCCTGGCGGCCGGTTATTTGTCATCAATACAAAAATATAATTATATACTCCTGATATATGTAATCTATTTAATATTTAAGAATCTATAATATAAATTGAAATATTCATTGCAGATCAAAAATCCATTAATTATTTAAATTTCCCTCTAATATATACAACACTTTTTCTTGCATTGTAATTTAATGAAATGACCCATTCGATATAATTATATTGAATTATTTCTTGATAGTAAAAACATAATAAAGGGAAATAATCAAATGTTGAACCGCTTTTGATTGGTTCGTTTGGATCTTGAATCTCGAAACTCGAATTTTGAATCTCGAAACTCGAATTTTGAATCTCGAATTTCGAATCTCGTATTTGGAAACTCGAATCTCGAATGAGCCTTCTGGGCTTTCGTACGAAATCGGGTATTATCCGTGAAATCGTGTATAATACGCGATATAAGGGAATCGTTGAATCCGCAAAATCGGGTATTCCGTGCCACTTTCTATATTATCCGTGAAATCGTGTATAATACGCGATATAAGGGAATCGTTGAATCCGCAAAATCGGGTATTCCGTGCCACTTTCTATAAAAACTAAAGAATAAAGCATCGGCGCATGATGCCAGTAACTGTTACTTGTACATCAGTTTTTTGTGGATTTATTTTGATTAAACCTAATTCATACGGTTGTCAAATAAGTTTAAAATCACATGACAAACACTGCTGGGGTAACAAAGAGGACACAATGGCATTATTATTTTTCAATATAATTTCTAAAAACAAATTACTACACTTCGTTTGTCTTTACTTCCCATTAAAGTATTCCATAAACTTAATTTTCTAATTTGTGCACTATTCACAAAACGTGAAATTTTAAAGAAATTAAACGACTAACGCCGTGTTATGTATTTTTACTGAAAAATGTATGGCGTCCCTTTCTCGTGAAATATAAATTACTCCTATCAGTTAGAGAGTACAGTATAAGCGAGTCATAATTGTATATCTTTGCCATTATAGAATACCAACGTTATTATAAAGACGAAAATAAAATAAAATTAAATAAATTCCCATGGGAAAACAGTTTGAAAATAGCTAATTGAAGGTGAGCATCTTTTTTATGTCAATTTTGAATGAACTTTTTATTCTAAGACACCTTATTTTTTTGGTTGCATTTAAATCGATACAAGATATGCTATTTTACCTTTATTTTATGCATTTGTGTGAAAATTGAGAGCGAGAAGTCATGAGAGCAGGATTTTCTTTGTTTTTTTTTTTGGGGGGGGGGGGGGGGGTTATAAATAAAAGTCAAATGTGTACATCTTTTCATGAGCTTATAATACATTGAATTTCTCAATGTAGATCGAGGAACAGTCATATTGAAATACGAATTACATAGTCAAGTTTTCACATTTCTTATACTTTTTACGTTTATGAACATGTTAATGAACAAACTGAAATAATGGAGTGTTCAATTGCCTTGGAAACTGTTGTCTTACGTTTTGGGAATATAATTCCTCATCGGACATTAAAATTTCATAATTTTCGTAGCCACTTCCCTTCTTTATTATACTATTTGATAGACATGGTAAATTTTACCTCTTTACCTTCTATATTTTTTTTTTATATCGCTATCTTATACCTCATTATAATATGCTAATACACCGCACTATCTGATTGGTTTGAGACAATATGTCACAGTTTTCTTTTAGTTATTTTATCTATGATACGTATTACTCATGGCAATAACTTTTCCTAATACTATAATGAAAAAATGTGTTTAAAAAATAAACATGAATTCTAGTTACTTGTAGTCTTATATTGTGTTAGAAAATAACAGGTTGCTTTTTGTTTACCTACAATTTATATGATTTTTATTTGATGAATAAATCTTCCCTACGATTAAAAATATATGACCGAGTTTAACCGACCATGACATTCAAAGAGAGGTTTCGTGGACACATGTAGAACACAGTCGAGGTTGTTTTGGCAGAGGTGGTCAAGAAGCCTTTAGCCCCCCCCCCCCCCTTTGAACACGCCAATAAATGGTAAAATATTGATGACTTAGCGAAATTAAACGATCAACAGTTATGTTCTCTCATAAGCTGTATTCCTGAAACTATCACTGTCTCTGCTAAAATGTTGAAGACATATTCTGCAAATATGTTTGAATGATAAATAAAAAAGAAAAGATTTTCAAAAAAAGAGAAAGAGGGTTCTTTTCGCCGAAATTTTAGACATTTTTATCATTACATTATTTATACATTCATAAATAAATTTGATTTTATGCACAAGATGAATGTGAGAGTAATTAATGACGCATAATTAGATACGATAGACAATCCCTTGTTTATACATGGCATCATATCTGGTGTGTGAAATGTGTTTCCGTATAATTTGATTTATTTACAAATTGTTCATGTTTGTCGTGTTGATGTGGAATTATTATAAATTCCCGAATTCTGATACTTTACAATTCTGTTGTGTTGGGAAGGAACATTGGGAAGATGCATATACTTTCAACATAAGGAAAAATATAAAGCAAATCGAATGCCTTTTTGTGTGCAGATCATAAAATGTACTGAGCTCCACAAGTATTTGTTGTGCCGGGCGCATTACACTTGATGAACAAATTCTTACTTGGCTAGTGATACCTTTCGAAAACATGGTTATCTAAATTACAGTTAACTCGGCAACATGCACCATCCTATCGTTTAAGTTTTATTAGGTGATTACACCTCCTATACCTGATTTCGCGGATTCAACGATACCCTAATATCGAGTATAATACGCGATTTTACGGATAATACCCGATTTCGAGTATTCTCTCCGACCTGTTAAAACGCCGAAAATATCTGAAACCACTGGTTTAATTTTCCTTATTTATTCTTTTTTCTGGGATCGATTTGAAACATTTTGTTGATTTTTTGTAAAAATTAAATAATACATTTTCTCTAAAGAAAACTTAATGTGTGGCATGTTTATATATGAAATTTTAATTCGCACGCTACATGTATGTATGTTATATTTTTACATCATATTTTGCTCAAAGCAGGAGTCATCAAAATCTGCCCTGTGTCCAAATTAAATCAAACTTTCGGATAATATACTTTAGAATATATATTTCCTCAATACTTATACTTTTTTCCATATTTCAAATACCTTTCATTTAAGAAAAAAAATCTATATAGCATTGTTTTTCCCATGTTAACACTTTATTCTGGATAATTGGTTGTTTACTTTATTTTTTAATGATCTTATATTAGAATGTCATATTTATCTACCTGTAAAGCTGAAAAATGTATGTACAAAGAGATTGTATTAAGTACTTAAATACCGGAATTGCATGAAATTTTGTGAAAATCACAGGGCCGATTTTGCTGGTTCTTGGCTTTAACTCTTTTCCAGTATAAATTTACCTTACTGAATTTTAGTAACAAAAAAATTGTTTTTAGAAATGCATTACAAAATGTGCAATAGATCAATTGATAATTTTGACATAAGGCTCATGCTTGAGTCGAATGTCTGATTTCACAATCTTCTTACAAGGATCTGATAGACCATAGTTTCAAAGTATGTGGGCACAAAATTTAAGTTGAATTTCTTACATATATATGAGAAGAGATTTTGTATCCAAGAACAAAAAATATCAAAGTTTTGGGAAAAAAATGACATTTTTTAAAGAAAATTTTTTACCTATTGTGTACTACCTTAAATAATTTATTTTAAACAAGAAATGTAGATTTGAACAAAAAATATATAATTTTGATAACACAAATTTCCTCCATTTTTTCTTTTTTTTTTAAATGAAATATTGGGGATTTTGTCATTTGCTTGGTTTAATTAAATTTTTCTCTTCTTATAAATTGACGCTTACAACAAAGTGATTTTCAATACCCATGACATCACAAAATATTATACACTTTACGGATAAAATGAATCAGGCTTATAAAGAAGTAAAATCTCCTATCCCTAGCAGTTCGTTAAAAGCACGTTATACCAGTCAAACAAATTAAAGTATAACCTCAATTGACAAAAAGGGAGGAAAGAGGAGAAAATGTGCATGCGTGATCATTTAAAACCATTCCACCTAGCCGGTTTTCAAAACGTTTATTTTTTTTTTTTTTTGGCAAGACAATTATTCTATAATTTTGAGCTATGACGTGGACACTCTGCCTGTGACACCCTTGTCTGTCTGCACTCTCAGTAATCCAAAATTTAATGCCGAATGAGCATTGGGCACAGGTGGTTAAATGCTATGCATTACCATGGTGATTGACTGAACTGTCTGGAAAATATCTACGCTGAAATATTTGACAAACGCCATCTGAAAGATTATTTGACTAATGCTGTAAAAGAACAACGAGAACAAATTAGAACTTGAATATGGAAGCCTGTTCAATAGTATCCAGGTCCTACACCCGTGGGACGTGCTTACAAAAGAGTTTATGATTGGAATCAAATGTATTTCTGCATTTAATTTTCTTCATGAAATAAATTTTGAAAAAAAATGGTTTATTTTTCTTATTCCCACACGTGCCCAATGCTCATCTGCCATTAATATTTATTCAAAAATAATTTTAATATTTTTTATAGAAAAAATAATTCTGTTTTTACAAAATTTTATAATCAGTTCAAGGGGTTTTCTAGGAAAGTTCAGTTTTTGAACATCGCAACAACAGCTTAAATTTTTATAAGGTTAATTTCTTTAATTCATTAACATTTTGAAAGCAAACAAATCAATTTTAAATGTACCTTTATTATTTTTGGCATTTTTAATATAAGCATATGTTACACAGTACTTTTTAAAAATAGCTTCATGTAAAGAAAATAACTATCTTAAAACTTGTTTTCTACGTAAATATTTCCACAATTTGTCATTTGCGCTCCACTCTGCATAATCGTTCGGGGTTTTGCCATCTTTATCGCTAACATTTAAGTATTTTGCACTATACACAAGCCTCACCATTTCAAGGTTTCCATTTTTACATGCTATATGTAACGGAAGTCTTTCCATAATATCCTTGATGGAAGTGTCGCACTCGGTTACAAGAGTTGAAGCCATCTTTACGTATTGCCCATAATCTTCTTTGGTTTCACTTCCGTTTTTCCTCTTGCATGCAATATGCAGCGGTGTTTGACGTTTATTGTCTAATGCATTAACTTCAGCACCACCATTTATTAAGTTTTCAGAAACATCATAAAATCTACATTTTATAGACAGATGTAAAGGTGTTTTTCCATCATAAGCCCTGCTTTTAGGGTCAGATTTTTCAATAAGTAATCTTAAAATTTTCTCGTTTTTAGTTTTTCTCGCAGCTGTGAATGGACAAAGATTTTTAGTATTTTCGTTGATTAGAGGACCTTTTTTTAAAAGAAGACTTGTAAATTCCTCTGAATCATTTTTCACAGAAAGGAATAAAGGGGTCTCTCCATTTGAATTGCGCTCATTAATACTGGCGCCTTCCTCTAAGAGGAGTTTTGCAATTTCAAAGGCACTTAATGAGCAGGCAAGAGCTAGCGGCTTTTGCAAAGAGGCAGAGGTTGTATTGATACACTTCTCAAAATGTATCTCATTCATTCGAGAAAGTGCATACAAGAACATGTTTTTATCCTTGCTGTAGATAGAAAGCCAGAAAAGACGTTCTGGGTTTATTACTGGGTTTCTAACTCCCCAAAAATCAAAACGATCAAACCAATTTGATGATTTAGATATGATCAATTGGAGAAACGGCAAATGCCCTTTACACACAATCCAATCAATAAGTTTGATTTTACCATCTTCTGATACTTCGAAAGGTCCGTACTTCTGATCTTCTAAAGCATCTTGTTTTTGAGGACCTGAACTGACTCTTTTCTGATCGATTGCTTTAGCTTTTGCTATCGACACTTTATACGATTTTGAAAACAAATCTATGACATTCTTCTGACCAGTCTCTTCAAACATGACTTTGTGGAAGCTTTCATTACTCCAACAATTATGACTGAAAATAAGATAAGCAGAAGTACAGCTCTGTTTTGAATAAATAATTTCCCGAAGAAAGCGGCATAACGTGCGGCAAAATTCCTTATAATTTTCAGGGTGAATTTTAACTTTCAGATCGTCAGCACAGTTTTCATCGTTATCTATAAAGGTATTGTTTGCGATATATTCTACGTCTAAGTGTTGAAGGATCAAATTTTGATTGTCTTTTCTTGCGCCGAAATGAAAGGCAACGATTTCAAAAAATGAATGATGAAGAAATGTGAATCCCAATTTTCTCTGAACTACATAGGTATTTTCTAAATATTCAAGGTTTTGTAGTATCTCTGTTCTATTTGGAATTTTTTCGCAAATCTTACATTTATCAAAGATAGCTCTTAAAAGTTCATAGTTGTTTAAGATTACGTCCGTTAAATTGTTTTTCGCAATCATGAGAAGTACTAAGGATGCATATTGCACTTTCGTCTTCTCTGATCTAGCCATGATATCTAACTGCATTAAAAGAAATTCGCGAAGATTTGAAATTTTTTTAGGTGTTTCATTATCAGAAGCATCCATTTTCTTTCTGAACAACATGTAGCACATTAATGGAAACATGAAAGTTTTTTCTTCTAATGAAGATGATTCAATAAACTGTTCGATTTCGTATGTTTTTATAAGTTTTTCTTTTTCTTCTTTGTTTAAAGCAAGGTCTTCATCGTCAATGTCCACAACACTGTAACTGTCAAAAACATGATAATGTTTTGCTTCATTGTATATTATTTTTCGACAAGTTACTATGAGCTTATGGAGGCCATAGTAAAATGCTTGTAGTACATCAGTGCGATTGTGCTCTAAATCTTCAATTTTTCTTTCATCGAGACCCAAAATGCCTACAGGATCATCGAGTACAAAAACACAGTTTTCATTATTACCTATGGAATTAATTTCTCTTACATCCTCGATTGGCACAACCTTCCGTCCTTCCTTTGCAAGTTTTAGCGCACAATGTCTTGCTGTAGCAGTCTTTCCAGATCCATTTCCACCAATTATCAAAACCATGCTTTCTTCTTTTATCAACTTAAAAGCTTTTTCAACAGATCGAATATCCCCGCAAAATAAGTTGTCCTGCAACTGCCATTTCGATATGATTTCTATTTGTTGATCTGAAAATATATGCCATATGTAATAACAAGCAAATCAAAAGATAATCAGGTATTTTACATGAATATATAAGATACTTTTTGCTACAAAGTATCTTCTCAACTCAACATTCTACAAATATCTACTGATAGCTCGAGTTATATAATTCTTCACAAGAAGAGAAACTTTAAAAAAGCAAACTACATTTGTATAAACAAGTGAACCTTAAATCATAATTGATGCTACGAGTTGATCTACTGAATTAATTATTCCAAAAATCCCCTGTAATTTCCCCTGTCAGTCCCTAACATTTTCCTGTTGTTCCCTGACTTTCTCCTTTGATTCCCTGTCGTTGTCCCTGACTACCTTGTCCACTCCCTGTTGTCCCCGGTCATTATCTGAACTCCCTGTCTACCCCCTGTTCACACCCTGTCGTCCCCTGTAGTTGTCCTTACTTTCCCCATGTCATCCACTGACATTTTTTTGGACCAACATTCTTTTAATGAAAATTAAGAGTGAAAGATGCCATAGCCCTGAAAACTCTAACGTTTTGAGAACATATAGGCTTAGACATAAGTAAAAAAAAATAATGCCTTCAGTTAACTTAATCCTCTGTATACTTTCTATGATTTATATTGATTGATTAAGTTTGGTAACATTTCAGAAAAATAAAACAGCAAAGAAATGCATCGATCCTGAAGAAAAATAATTTACCAGTTAATCTTGTAGAGCCTGACGGCATATCAATTTTTTTATAAACTGTTTATCTATTTTTAACTTTTTTATTAAAACAGCTTTTAGCGTACTGACTGTTTAAATAAAAGAACTAAATTAAGATACTCTGGAATAAATCATGAAATCTACGCGAGTATGTTAAGGAAGCATATAAGTCATTTTTCGGGAAATTTAGACTTTTTATAGAAAATTAAGTTTGATAATTTACCAAAACCGCTGATAAACGAGAATTTTTATTATCTGATGCATAAAGATGAAAGAGTGTCTAAAGCAATGACGTGCACCACCACCACGGAATCACGTGAATTCTATTAATAGCGATATTTTCCTTAATAAAAAAGCTAACAGAACAACAATACCCCGGAGTTTGATAATTTCTTTGAGTAAATAATGTCGTTGAAAAACATCTATTTTGCCTACAAATAGCTGCTAGAATCCAACTGTCCCGTTAGTAAAATAATTATTCCATCCATTCGAAGGAAACCTTACCAGATGTTTTGAATTTTTTACATATGAACCCTGATTTTTCGTAAAGATGCTTAACTTGCTTAACTCGGGATTCTAGCAGCACTTTCCAACTATTTTAGGAGGCACACTTTCCATACGTACACATTTTATGTTTTGAAATATTCAGCTTATTGTTGTTCTGTTGCATTAATTTTGTCACAAATTATGGAGGAAAGGCCGACCGGGATACTTGTATAGCTGACTGTCTTTGAAAAAGAATAAAATCGATGAAAATAAATTAGCATACCTATTTTATTAACAGAACTCCATATGAATATCACAAGATATTAACAATAATTGCTGTAAAACCCCATTTTACGTGTCTTTGTACATGCCGTATTAGCCAAATTCTCTTTACACGGCATGATCAATTCCCAAGTTACTTGATATACACATATGTCGTCATCGGTGGTAGATTTTAATCAAATTGACAGAATACAGCATTACAAAATAAGAGCATTTTATTTTTGTTAATGTTAACACGTTTCAATTCATTTTCAAGAGTTAAATTACAGCCAGCTCTAAATACCAATATTACAAAAACTTGTGTTTTAAAATTGACGTCATCTCGCCTACTATGACGTCATAATGGAGCACTGATTTAGTCAAGGTAGAATTTTTTGTATGCTTCCTTATTCCCCCTGCGTATGCATTGGTATTCGTTTTTGAGTGAATTTAAAAATTAAATAAAAAGAAGGATAAATCTATACCTGAATAAAATAAATTACGAAGTAAGAAATAAAAATAGATATTAATAATTATATCTTCAAAAATTTATGATATCGTTTCATTCTATATAAACAGTTTTTCACTCTAATATACTTCAAAGTAATTTTAAGCATTTTAAAACAACTTTTAAAGATTTTTCTTCCTTGATGGATATAAAAAAATCGACTCATTATGCATGACTGCAAACCTACTATCATTTGCATAAGCTTTAATTCGCGATTCGTTCATTTGAAAACAGTCCGAGACTATCGTCGCGACAGATGAAAAAATCCTTACAAATAATAAAACAAAATTATATATTTCTCGGCAAATAATGATCGCGAATCTAAATCAGTCGTGAAACTCGTGAATATTTTTTGCACGCGAATAAAACTTGATTTACAGTTACTTAATCCGTCAATTGCTAATTTGAAACTTCTCCTTTATTTCGATATAAAAAATATATGATATTCTCGAAAACCTAACACGGTTTTTCTAGCCGTTGATAGCTTACCAATGATTTAGGATAAACAGGCAAGATACATGTACCTATTGTCATTGTCACTGACTTCTAAGCCGTGGTTTATTTTATTTCAGGCAGAGGCACCGTGTTCACTTTGCAGCTGTTGAAAAGACATTTTTATCCATGTATGAGAACCAATTCTTTCGATCAAAATACATGTAGTATAAATTTCAAAAAATGTGACTCATAACTCACAGCTGCACCATCATTCTGTTGTTAAAATGTGTGATGCGGAGAAAAAACACTTATTTGCAGTGTATGGATATTTGCAAATGTAAAATTCTGAATAAAACAGAATATAGAAACAACAAAAGACGAATAAATCAGAGAAAATTCGAATTTAGTGTAGAAACTACTACATTTTCCAAATAAAGGTAAAAATGATAGACTTCTTTTATCATTTTATATTTTCATTGCACTCAGTGAGATATTCATACTTTCATTTTCCTGTTTGAGCAACATTTAAAAACAAATAGAAAAATTCGATGTCCGCTATGTTGAATTGCCATTTTGACCTTTACACCATTTTTTTTTTTTTTGCGTGTCCACTTTTCAGCCGTTGAAAAGATATTTTCCTCCTTGTATGAGAACCATTTTTTTTCGATCAAAATAGTATACGTTTCAAAAAAAGCTATTGACGTTTTAAGACCGTACATATTGAGACGACAGGCGAAGTCAGGGTAGGCAGGGAGAAGACAAGGGACGACAGGTTTGGACAGGGAGGTCAGGGTATGTCAGGGAACGACAGAGGGTAGACTGGGTAGAAGCAATCACATTTTTTTTGGATTCAACATACCCAAAAATATGTTTAAAATCTATGCTCGACCAAATAATAATTATTTGCAGCTAGAAGTATTTTTTCTACAAATCAAAACAGATTGATATTTTTGAATGACATTTATAATTGACACAATATGCCAATTGCTTTTCGTTCTTGATTGAAGAAAATACCTAAAAGATATTAACTACATTCCTAGAAATAATTCATAGCATCGGATTTTCAGTCATTATGGATTTAAACAATTTAATATCCACAAAAAGCAGTTGCCCCAAATGCAGCTTTTATTTAATTGATTTACCTTTGCTAATTTGTTTTCCGTAAACCTTTGGCACTTTCCTTTGTTCAAATTTTTTGTTTCTTAACTGGCATAAGCGTTTTCTCAATGTTCCTTGACTTAGTCTATCTATTGCCTGTAAGTACAAAATTATTCATAAATTACTGTATTCATACATTACTTAATCGAAAGTCAACTATGAGAAAAGAAAAGAATTTTTTTTTAAGCGTTAAAAGGAAAATGGTGTAATCTGGGTTAATTTTAACTAGGATTACATGTACTCTCATTCAAACAAGTTTGCTCAAAATTAGTCAAATGTTGTTTTGTTAATCACATGTAAATCTTACAAAGTGCAAATTTGATGCATAGGATGTGCATTTCAAAAAAAAAAAAAAAAAAAAACTTTCTCTTCATTGATGCCTATATCTAATGTACTTTGCACAAATGGATGATCAATGTATTTTATTTAAAGTTCACATAAGAAACATAAGTTTGGATAGCAAGAGATTTTTACAAGACATGGGAACAGATATTAAAAATGTAATCAAAATATAAACGAATATAAAAAATAGTTATCAAATGTCAAAGCAGAAAAACAAGCAAATTCAAAGAAGTTTGGTCCCCCGCTTTCGATGTTTAAGAAAGAAAGATGCCATCACTAATGACATATTCTGTCAAATATGAATGTCACTCAAAAATAGTTATTTAACTGATTTGTTTTGAAAATTAGGTCAGGGTCAAATTTTTAGCATGCTTTTGTCACAGTAACCACACATGGCAAATATGAAAACCCTGTTTCTTCTCATTTCACGGTTTAAAGGAAATATAAAATTTTTGAAAAGGTCAAACTTTATAGTCAAGGTCAAAGAGTCAGAAATCATAGATTATTAAGAAAAGTCTTGTCACTAATAAACATGTTAAATATTAGAGCCCTTTCTTTTAATCTGTCAAAGATGTGCATAACAGATATAATTTTTGCATGTATAAAGGAGCAGTCAATATGTGAAAATGTGTTTAATAGTTTATACAACGCATTGGCTGTGTTGATATGACTGACAAACCAATTTTCTTAATGATGCACAAAAAATGCATTGGCACAAGTGAAAAACAAAAATATTGTAAACGGTTTCTTACTAAGTCAGTTAGCGTATTATTCTGTACTTGTAAAGTGCTGGGAAATGACTGAATTAATTTCACTACCGTAGAAAATATTTCACGACAAATTCTGCCACTCTTCATCGCAAATGATAAAAAAAACGGAAAAATTACATACAATGAACAAGTGACATTCAGTTAAAGGACATACTACTTAATGAGCATGATTCTAACAGAATATTTTCGATTCATCAATGTTAATCACGTGGGTCAGTCTAATATATTCAGGATTTTATAACTTTTGTTTTTTAAAATGTCACGCATTTAATCGCATATCCTAGACTGTTTATATACACAATGACAATAAAGCTTCATATCTTTTTTTATTTTTAGTGGAACATAAGTTAGGCATATTTTTTTATTACGTTACACTTATAGGCAAAGAAGTCCGAAAAAGCTGAATCTGTAGAATTGACCAAAACTAACAACTAGTGTGATGTCTAGTAGTTTTGAAAAATTTAAGATTATTTTGAATAGCTTTTTGACCCCTCAAACCATTTTTTTTTCTTTCGGCATAACTGCCGCTGAAGTTTGACTCTGTATCGGTCCAAAAAAACGCATATTGCCAAATCAATAAGTGTTGGGTTTTTGGGAGTTGAACTATGTTCAGACTCCCTAGGTTGTCACGCAATTTCTAGCGCAGTAATCTTACAATGAATTATATAGCGGCTGTCGTGGTGTTTCTGTGTCGGCCAATTTACTCCCCTGTGATATTCAATACAAACTCGCACCAGTCTATATGAACTCGAAGAAACTTCCGCAATAAAAATAGTCCATCTCATTTTTCTGAATTTATCTAATTTTCATAAATGATTTGAAAGTAAATGAAAAAGAATTTAATTTAGCTTAATTAAAATAGCATATTTTTGTCATCTCTCTTGAGAAATGACACATAAATTTTGATTTCCGTATGAAAAAAAGTCCCGTCATCTATCATTCGGCAATCCTCGGCTGACTCCACTACGCTCCATTACAAAAAGTGCGAGGTCATCAAAGGAGCAACAACTGGTCTAACTGGTTTGACAATGTTGCTATTGTCTAAATATAGAGATGTAAACAAAGATGTAAGGTCAAAGGAACGCTAAGGTTTAACCGAACTTCTTTCAATTTGTTTCAGCAATAAAGAGACAGAACAACGTTACTTAAAAAAAAAATACTATGGAAAATATCACTGTCAGACATTTCTTTGCTCTGACAAGTAAAATGATCTGTTGGTATTTCATGAGTTTATCAGCATTCAGTTGGTCTCGTGTACAACACCATGTCTGAACTTGAAAAATGTGTATGTACTTGCATTGCAGAGTTACCTTATAAAATATATCATTTGATTTTATTATATAATTCAAACAGTTGAAATTAATGAATACATGCGTATATGCACGGTCACAATGGTATAATAATCCCAATGATCGATCTGTGAGAAAGATCGTTTCTCATGATTGCAACTGCTTTTTTTTTCTTGTAGTAGCTCGTTAAACTATGTCTGATTTTAATTACATTTGAATCAAATCAAAATCATAAACTTTAAGTGTCACTCGCGTGGCGCAGTTGTTAAAAGATTTTGCTCTAGAGATTCAAAGTAAGGTGTTAATTGATCCTTACTTCGCAGGTTCGAAACCTGTTGGATGCATTTGGAGATAAACTCTTTTGATGAGACCATATATACCGAAATCCCATGTCGCAGTATGTGCTTGCACAAAACGATCCCTCACTACTCATTGAGTTTGAGTGCCGTGTATAGGTAAACATTTGTAGACTTACATGTAGCTGGCTCCATCGACAAGTGGTAGTGTCTCAATATAATTGAAAAATTATCGAACGCAATACGAAGAAAATGTAAAGTATTCAGATACTTACCTCTATATAGAAATTACTAGAAAGGAAATTTAAAAATAGGGAATAACAAAACCTGATGATTAAGTTATAAAGATAGATACATTTGATAAAATAGATAAGCACGGAGTTCTATAAAAATTAATTATTATGTCCGAAAGGAAACATTCATACCCAAAAGAGAATAGCAAATACTTATTTTAATCAGAGGAAGAAAAATGACAATCTAGTGTCTGGCGATGGTAACATCGAATATAAAGAGTGTTTGTTTGTTTTTTTCTTGTGACCAAATATCTTATACACATATTCTAAAGAGAGTAGTGAGCGTTTTTATTCAAATGCTTCAGAAATATAAGGGTAGTGTTTAAGTTAGAATAAGAAATGGTACTGAAAGAAGTTTGAAACCTACCCATGAAATAGCATTTTCGAGTTTAGAAAAATTATTTTTTTGGTGGTGGGGGTTGTTTGTTTGGTTTGGTCAAATTGTTGAGGTAAGAATTAGAAAGAATAAATCCAGAACTAAACTTAACTGTTCGTGCGCAATAAACATACAGTTTTTTTCACTGGATGGCACTGTAGCTCTACGGTCTGTCAAAATCTTTTTTCTGACAGCTACAGTTCTGCAGCTAATTTAAGAGCAGTCCCATGATCCTGGCTATTCAAATGTAATAGAAATTATTTTTAATGTTTCGTGTTGTATCTCTAACAAATCAGTTCTAGCTGACTTGAATCTGAAAGCATGAAACTGTTCCTATACTTCCCGTGAGATCTTTCAGATAACAATGTTCAACTCCCATGAGTACTTTAGTACTTTTTTTGTGTGTGCGTGTGTACATGTACTAAATATTGAGTGCATGTTAATAACTTGTTTACCAGAGTTAAATCGAACCACCGTTCCTCAAAATCTTCGTCAGAGAGTTTTTTTATACTTTGGTTGTGAGATATAAAATTTCGGTATTGATGTATCCGTTCAACGTGGTCTCCTTCCTCGTTACTTTCCAAAGAAGGTACATTATTCCATTTCTTCTTTGGTGCCTGCATATTTGTCGTGTTTCTCAGGAGTTTGTAAAGAATTGAAAGGTCTAAATTCATTAAAGAGACGAGGGATCCATTACCTAAAAGAAATGAAATGTTAATCCAATATATAATTGAAATAAGATAAAATAGGCACAAAAATATGATACAATATACAGGGTAGTCGCTAATATTTTTCCATGCTTGAAAGTTAAACGTTTTTATGAAAGACCTTAAAAGTTACAAGTTTTTATTAAAGACCTTATTTAATATTCACTTACTTGGATAAAGGGCAATCTTCTCAAACGGCGATAACTTTGATTTTAGAAGGTGTTCGTTGTTTTTAAGATGTTTTGCAAGGTCAGAATTCTTTGAAGTAAGGTATCTCTCTAATGTAATTTGAAGGGCCTCTCTTCTAATGGCATCGCATTCTCTGTAACGCAGAAAGTTCAATTCTGCATTATTTAATTGAAATATTTTAGCTTTTTGAACATAACTTTAAGTTTTACTGACACTTTCGAAATATTGTTTATTTGACTAAGGTCATTTTTTTATGTTTGCTTACGGAAATACACAAAAGAATTCTACTTTGAAAGTGGAAAATCTTTAACATCATTACAACACTGAAATATTGGTCTCAGTCATGCCTTATTACCAAGTATGCAGGTATGCTAAGGAAGCATATAAATCATTTCTCGGAAATTTTAGACTTTTTATAGAAAATTATTTTAGATAATTAACCAAAACCGCTCATAAACGTAAACTATTTCATAAAGATAAAAAAAAAATGTCTAATGCAAAGACGTGAACAACCACCACGGCATTACTTCTATTAATAGTGAAATGTTTCTTAATATAATCGATAAAAATAAATTAGGACACTGTAAATTCCTAATTAAACGCGAGGAATTTATTATCGCATAATTCCACGAGAAGCATCACTCGTGAAATAAAATTTCTCGCTTCAATTTTTATGTTGATGAAATCAGTGTAAATCCTCTTTATCGACTGCCCTTTCACGAATAAATATTTTCGCAATTTGATGTTTAAAAGCCATATGGCGATAATAAGTAATAATGATAAATCGCTAAAAATAAAGGAATCTAGAGTACCTGTTTAATTAACTGAACTCAATATAAATTTTGCATTATATTCACGATATTTGCTTTTAAAATCTATTTCACATATCATTTTACATGCCTTCGTATCCAAATGCCTTTAACACGACATGATCAATTCCCAAGATACAGTACTGGGTGTACACATATGACGTCATCGATGGCAAATTTTAATCAAATTGACAGATACAGCATAACAAAAATATAGCATAATTATTTTTGTTAATATTTACACGTTTCTATTCATTTTCTGGAGTTAAGGGAGCCGACTGGGGTTTTATTGTTTGAAAACTACAATAGGTTAACTCTTCATTTTTATACCATATATAAGTTACATTTACTTCAATGCCAAGTTTGGGGAAAATATACCGTCCAGGTATTCTTAGGGAACCGTTTCAAATTACAGGTATATTTACTAAGGATTATAAAGAAAAGAGCCACTTTCTTGCACTTTAAAGCATATTATACAAAAAATACAATATGCTTTTTGTTAAAACTATAGTATATAGTTTATACTATATTGTACATTATATGTAAGAAACACAAAATTCCAGCGTCTAGTTACCGTAGGGGGCATCTCAAAATACAAAAAGTAACGAATTTTCCCGTTTTTATAGAGTACTACAAAATGTAATGGGCACAAAAGATTTATATGAAAACATAATAAAAATATTGGAGATATTCTTGAATTTCTACATTTAAATTTCGAGAGTGTATGCTTATTCCTTTTTAAATAACAATTTCATTACCCATTTCTTAAGAGCTCCATTTCTTTAGCATAACGTCAAAAACACACTATGAGGGCGTCAACCTACCTATCAATTGCATAATCGATTAGAATTCAGTTACATAAAATTGTAATTACATTTTTTTAACCTGTTATTTCTAAAATATGTTTATTTTTTATTTATCAAGTGGAAAAAATTGCTTTTAAAGAGTAAGTACGCTTTATTCCCTGAAATTACATCTCTAAATACCAATATTACGAAAACTTGTGTTCTTTAATTGACGTCATCTCGCCTACTATGACATCATAATGAATCACTGATTTAGTCAAGGTATAATATTCTGTATGCTTCCTTATTACCCCTGCGTATACAGTGAGGTCTAGTCGTTTTCCTTACATACTTAGTATTTTGTAATAGATACCATGGCAAAAAGGTACAAATATCTATGGAAAGCGAACCGGTTCAGAATTCCAATTCTGCAATTCCTTTAATATACATATTTGAAACTTAATTTGTCAACTGTACATGCAAATCATAATTGTTCTAGCACAATTCGTACATTATCCAACATAATTTGAAAGGTGTAAAATGTAAATGCAAGTTATGTCAATGGTGAAGTGTTATTCGAAAACTTGCGATATGTTAACTTGTGAAATGTGATTATTGTACTTTCGTGATTTGTAAATTATGCAAGGTTGCATATTAAAACACATGAGTGATGATCTTGAAAATGGGGTAATTTGAAATGATTACATTTTCATAAGTGAAAAACTGAGATAATAAATTCAAATGATATTCTGTCATCGTGTGATTAGATATACAAATGATATCCTTTCACAGTGTAACAGAATACGTATCAAAGGTCTGACAAATCTCCATTTACCTTCCCTTCTGAAAGATTGTTGTAAAAATCACTACCTGAATAGTTATAAGATAAAATCATAAAATAAACGACCCTGATAGAGACTAAAAATGTCAAAGTTTCTGAAAAATATGTTAAAATCCATATTTATATACTTTTTTTCAACCTTGCTATCGCTTAGCTTAAGGTACGTCTCAATCGTGCAACTATGATGTCACAGTCAGTATCACTTTGTTATGAAATGACAGAAGCTAAGGTAAAATAAAGGAAAATTTAATAAGCAGAAAATTCAATGTTTTATAGTTGTATATTGAATTTATTTCATTCATGAAAAACGATTTTTGATACTTTCACTCGTGCTTCGCATTCATGAAAATATAAAGGAATCATTCCGTCTTATACTCGTGAAATAAATTCCGTATACAACAACAAATCATTGAATATCCTCTTTTTATTATAAAAAAAAATCTTGATCTCTGGTATTAATTATGCCAAACTCATATGAGTTGAATCAAGGTTTGTATAATGATATTTGGACTATTGGAACACCTGAAATATTGCTTTTCTTGGCTTAGTTTTAATATCCATCGCGGGCATAACATCTTTTTGTAACTGAAAGCAGGTTGGAGACATTCACACCATACGCAGGTGATGATGGCAAAAAGTTGGAAAAAAATTGGAAAACGGACATTAAAAAAGCTGACGTATTAATCTCGTTTGTCTTGTAACATAAACCGTTCACGGTAGCTCAGTTGGTAGAGCGCTCGCTCCGTTATCGGGAGTTCGTGAGTTCGAATCTCGGCCGCGACTGACCTAGTCGTCAAAATGGGTGGCAACTGTTCCTTCGCCATGCGCTCGGTACTTCGAAGTGAAAGTTGCGGCTCCTTTGGATGAGACCTTATAAAACCGAGGCCCCGTGTCAGCGGCAAGCGTCTGCACTATAAAGATCCCTCACTGCTCAATGGCCCTGAGTGCCGAGTAAAGGTCAGAATTTGAAGCCATTCCTCGACATACGGTGACGTCTCCATATGAGTGAAAACTTCTCCAGAGGGACGTTGAATAATATACAATCAATCAATCTTGTAACATAATCTTCAGATTAGTACATTTTTTTCATTTTGTAAATTGTCTTAATATGAGACCGAAGCTAAAAAGAAGGTCATTTTCGTAATGAATTTTACTAGTAAAATTTAAGTCAATATATGAATTCTTCTCTCGTAAAAGTATTTGAATTAATGTATGTGCATATCTTTTACATACCCTTTAAAACATGTAACGCTATATCTTTGCAACGCACTGCACCACTTGATAGCCTTACTTCCACTCTATATACGCCGTCATCTGAAGGTTCTATGTCATTTATGACCAATTCAAATGTGTCTGATTCCTTATGACATAAACACTCATGATATTTTGGGCCACTGGTGTCTAACTTTAAAAAAATATTTTTTATCCATCGCATCCATGTCGCCGCTGCAGGATAGTTGGTTTTATCCCATATGGCCTTTAGTATGATGTTACTTCCAGGATTGACGAACACTGCTTCTTCAGGTAATTGAATCTCGGCTTCAATAATGCATATTTATTCATTAAATGATAGCCACATTTAAATTTTGATACTAAAATCATGCCGTGATAAATCACTTTTAATGGAATTGTATGTCAAGCTGTACAATTTTGGTAATCCCAAATTTTCTTCATGTTGTACAACATTATCTTTTTTATTTACAATATACAAATCACATTAACATATAAGTAACTTTGCAGTTATATATATAACTAAATTTGAATAAATATGATTTTAATTACTTACGTAAAACTCTCGCCATTGCGCCCTACTATGTTTCTCCTAAATACAATTACGATTCACAATTACTTCATCTTAATTTCTCTTTAACTGTAAAATATCTTGTAAGGTTAGGTGTTAAAAAAGTATTAAGTTCATATGATATACTCAGGTGACCTTTTACTAATTGTTTCCCCGTGGTCGTTCCTTGTGTGTTTTGTGTTAACGTTTGATCATTTACTTTTTTGTACAACAATTTTAACCAAATTTGCACTTTGCATCTAGGGATAGAATGGAATTAAAACGTCTCAATTTCATAGTCGCGGCTACCTGTGGCTAAGGGCTAAATCAAACAAAATAAATGTAATCTTAAAAACTCTTCCTCTATACTTTGATACAGAGCAGTTACACTGTTGGCCTAATTTCTTTATTTCTTTAAAAATCTTCTTCCCTATTTTTGTATTAAAAAAATAAACTAAGTATATAGTTATGATAAGAAAGAATGCCTCTTCCAAAATTGTGAATTCTATGGCCCCAGGGTCAGGAGTTCTGCTGTTAGGGCTGTGCTTTATTGGTTATATAGTAACAACACATAAAATCTTTGCAAATTTTCTTCTTTGCTCCTGTGTACTAAGCAGATGAACTACATATATAGCTATGATGAGCAAGGGTCCTTCTTACAGAGTAGTGAAATTTAAGCCCCTGGGTCAGGAGTATCATAGAGGTAGGGGGCTCTACTAATATACTGAAGATAAATTAATTGATTGAAATTGTCTCCTTGGTATCATCAAACACTTTTGATAAGCATTAGGGCTTTTTTCTAAAATTGTGAAATATGTGAACCAAAGGTCAGGAGTTCATTTGTGGCAGTGGCACTACTGATTATTGCTGAATATTACTGATAAGTCAAAATGTATTTTCTTTGTTCCTCTACTCTGTCTATGGGTATTAAGTAACCAAACTAAACATGATAAGTGTATAGTTATAATTAGCAATAGTGACTCTTTGAAAATTGTGAATGCCATGATGTCTAGTTTAAAACATGAACCAAATTCAACCATTGTAAATTTGTTGCATGATGCTGAGGTGACCTATAAGGCCCATGGGCTTCTTGTTTTCATTAATTAGCTTGATGTTTTGTGTTTAATTTGTTTTCATTTGTAGACAGGATTGTGAAAGTGTTTATAGAATTTTATGACGCAATTTTAAAAAAAATTGTTAGGAAATAATAGTCTGAAATTAACGTTTGGGGTGGACTTTCTAACAAAAAATACTATAGTAAACAAGAGTTAACTATAGTACCAAAGTTAAAAGTTTGGAACTCTGATTTACTATGGTAAAAACTTTGGAACTTTGATTTACCATAGTGAAAACTTTGGAACTTTGATTTACTATGAAGAAAAATTTGAACTTTGATTTAATGTTAATAGTGAAACTTTTGGAACTTTTGATTTACTAACGTAAACTATAGTTAACTATAGTTTACTATAGTATTTTTGGTAGCAATTGCAACATATTTTTATTAAGGATATCCGATCCTCAGCCAGGAAAGAAAACTCCAAAAATTAATATTTAATTTGAATTGCATCAAAATGAAGCTTGAAAATGAAATTTTTTCATGCAACAATTTTCATTTTATTGATCTTTATAAGATTCAAGCTTTTTGGAAGTCTTAGAAAAGGTTTATTGAAGTTGAAAATTGTGCCCTATAAAAGGAAAAGAATTACTACAGTTTTCTTGAACCCAGCCTTAGATACCAATGCTTATTAGCATGATATGAAATAAGAAGTGATTTATGGTGTCTTGCAATGATAGCAAAAGCCTTTTACACTATGTATTATAGAATACACGACGGAAATAGAAGACAAAAATACTAAATAAGTACAAAAATCATGACAATTTCTCCGAATGCCTGGATGCCTATCATTTTATGACCTAAAATATATTTGTTGATTAATTTGAAATTAGGAAATGCATTGCTGATATTCCAATGCTCCTTTTCTGCATAAATATTGGAGATAAACTGAAAAATCTGAAAATTTTCCCTATATAATATGATTAACTTTAATCTTAAATTTTAAAGAATTAATGTGGATAAAGTTACATAAGTTTGTGAATTCAAAGATACTCTAATGAGCATTTTTGATTATTTAACTGCTAATTTTATAAACCTGGGGATCGAACTACCTTAAACTAACCACTAATTTAAGATTCGGGTCATTATATGCATTTTCATACACTAAAGAAAAATCATTAAGACCCGTGTGATGAAACATCGAGTGATAAAATTACCTATATGTAAGTCATTAATTATACCAGCCAAAAAAATATGCATAAATATTACCTGCCTTTGTTGCAGCTACCGCGATGTATAGTCTACGTCGACAAAATACATCTATGATCTAGTGTTTTCGGAAATTTATTATGAGCACGCTTCCTACTCACTGGAATTTAATCGTTTAATTTCTTTATTTAGTTTTGCTAGATAAGATCTAGCATATTCTGTGACCTTTTAGAGCACTTGCTGTTTTATTTGTATAAGTACTTGAAATATTATGTGAGCACTTCCGAAATACTCATGTTGATCTCTAAACAAAATTGAAAGTCTAAATAAGGATTCATCGTTATTTGCTTAATATATAAGCGAAAAAAGAAAGTGTGCATATTAAAAGATAATTAAGAAAATTAAAATAATATATTCTTTGATAGCTATTTATTCTTAAAGCTAATGTTGAATATACTAAACGCATGTCTGAGTCCTAAATCTGGTGAATATCTCGACCGAGTCGCCTTTTTAACTACTGAATGCTTTTCTGAAGTTTTCAGCTTAAGCAACAAACCTAAGCAACATGTAATTTGTAATCGATTAGCATTTCTCGTATTCATTGAATGTATGCAGTGTATTGAAATTAAAAAAAAAAAACATTGGTTTAAGGAATAAAATCTTAGTTGAGACATAAGTCACATGATTGGCAAGATCCGTATATACGGGTATCACAATTGCGTAGATGTTGGTCTACGTTGAATGAGTCCAGTTCGAAAACAGTAAGTTAGACAGAGAATAAACACAATACTATTGTTCCTCTTGTCACATTCATATTAAATCTCTTGAAAGTCTATACTTTTGTGAACCGCAAAATTTACTTCTGGCTAGACTCCGTTAGCTGCTGCCTATGACCACAGTATCAATTAAAAAGTCATATTGATTAGGATTAGACGTATCACGTTGATATTGATATCTGCTATGAATCTCCGTCTAAAAAAACGCAGAAGATAAAAAAATAAAATCTTTGTTTTGTTTTACAGAATCAGGCACAGATTTTTTTTCTATTTATTTTTTTTTTTTCAGAAATTTTGTTTACTTCCTTTTTTCATTAGCACGACGCTTGGTCAACATTGGTCATATATTAACATGTGCAGATAAAGGACTTGTGATTAGGGGGAGGGGTGGGTAACTTCGTTCAGACAGGGGTTCTGGAGGCCGCCTTAAAATCCCCAATGGGTCCAGGACAAAGCACTGGTGGGGATCAAGGTAGCGAAGCTCCTTGGATAAATGTCATACTTTGAAAATTGTAGCGGTTATTAATTAAAATATTTTTTTCTGGTTAATTATGTGATTTTTCATCAATGTTTATCTAATAAAAACGAGAACACTTTAATAACATACTTACATGTACGATAACAAGTATATATTATATATATGAGCAGATGAATAAGCAACTCATCAAATAACGCACTTTTGGTACAAGTTTGTGATGATCGAGGATTAATCACTTTCCTTTGGTACTCGTTTAGCTACTCGAAATGACTTTATCTAAAATTATAACTTTTAACAACACTCACTTCCGAAAGATTTTTCCTTTCCGTCATTGCAAAAGATAAACTGTTGGTGTTAATACACCACGTTGAAAGGTTTATTTATACGAATTATTTTAGGGTTCAATTAATTTTCTTTATCAAAATAAAGACTTCTTATGAAGTTATAATTAAAATAGGAAGTTTTTTTTGTTTTTTAACAGAAACAAGGTGTGCTTAGAGTGAGGGAGAGAACGAAAAAAGTCGTGCCTGTCCTGTATCTTTCATCTAATATTCGACACAGGACTTGTGAACTTAAGTGACTTCATTTATTTAAAACAAGACTTAGAACTTTGGAATCATCGAAGTCCTTAGGGGGTCAAATTTCTAAGCTTGCTTAAGGGCATTCACAACGTAGTTTTGTCTTTACTGTCTTTTTCCCTAGAGCTGGATAGTTTCAATACTTAAAGGAAATATGTGCAACATTTTAATGTCTAAAAATTGTGTTGTAGACTTCCTTTAAATCAAGTTTAGATAAACAAAATATCTTAAACATATGTACATTTTTTGGTATATTTTCTTTGGGCCTATTAACACCTGATGGCAGCATAATCTTCAATTAAGAATATCTTTAAAATTATCAAAGGTACGTTGTATATGTCCTTAATTTTTACAAGTTTTTACATATTCGTGGGACGTAATTTCGAGCAGTAACTCATATCAACAAGAAGAAATGCGAATTTGGAATCCTAATTCATTAATTCGTAATCATTACACATGAATTCCACAAACATTGAGTCACCACGAAATCTAATGATTTCACAGTAGTATTATTCAGGTTTTGGTTCTGTTATGTTTAAGAGGTGCATGGACACAGATTTGAAGTTAATATTTTCTGTATGATGTTACGACTTATATAATTTAATAGCATTTCACACAAAAATATATATAAAAAATCATTTTATATAAAAGTTATTGAAACTTCAAAGTTTTGAATGTGTTCGATTGACACATCCTTGCACTCTTACACATTTTACTTTGATTCTTAATACTTAGAAAAAGTGGCAGCCGTATTGTGTATGATGAAAAATATTAAAACTTTAAACCAGAAAAGTAATTATATTAAGAGTAGAAATGTTCGAGAGCAAACCACGTCACAAATATATCGTTATTCCCATTTAGTGTTGTGTACAGAGTTTAGCAAATTTATCGCATCCGTGAAATGTACACACTCCTGAGGAGTAAGATTTCAATGTAAGCTAGCTGGTATCACCCGCTGCATGTTTCTCGTCATGGCCAGACAAACAGAAAGATCCATAGATAATTCAGTATGAAAAAAATTGCTAACAAAATGGTGTGTGAAAACGTCATTAAGAAAGATTTAATGATATATTGTACTTGTGACCTTTACTTGTTTGCTGACAAGGTCATTGTGTCGGCTGCTCTGAAAACAATTCCCACAGTGTAGACTATAGTCACTCAATTAACTATATACTCACCACACTCAGAGTATTTAGCCTTGACAGTTAGGTCTTAAAGATGCATGGACACATATTTGAAGTTAAGTTTCACATAATATACACACAGTATATTGTCAGTCCGTGCAGTTGTGGTGAGCAGACTTTAGCAATTGAACGCACCCGGTGAATCGTAAACATTGCCAATCACAAAGCTCGTACCCTATTTACAAAAACTGTGTATGTTTCATGGGATACATCTATTTTGGCCCTTCCCTGGTTCAAAGCTTTTTCCCTGAATGAACAGGTGTCAAACCCCGCTCCATACAGCACTGAGTGAACTTTGGTGCCCCGCATTATCGCCCGACTTCACCGTAATTGGAAGTATCTAACTAAGAGTGATTGTGCATATAACTTTATATCTTTCTTATTCATAATTCAGAGTATTTATTTTTTCCACAAAGGAATTCTAGATCATGAAGTTTCTAAATGTTTAATTTTAGTCACATTACATTTCTGTATAGTCGGATAATAAAGAAAAACATCATGCAAATTTTAAAAGTCAAAAATCTACCATGCGCCGACAACCGTTATTTAACACCCTTTAAATGCTGTTTGTACATGAATATTTACATCACAACCTAATATTATTTAGCCAAAATGACTGAATAAATCATTTCTCAACATTTTTCATAAAATGAAGAATTTTCGTCCGGCAGTTTATATGAAATATTCAAAAAGTTTGCGTTTTTCTAGAACAACCCTCGTACCAGTATAGGCTAACAAATACCAATCTAAATATAAAGTGTTTTATTGGAGAAAGTAATGCAGAATTAGAAGACAGATAAGGAATCTCATCTGGGTTCTATAAATAAAAAAAAAATAATCGATGTGGCAAATTCTTATTTGTTTAAAAGAAATAATTTCCTACAACAAACTGATAAATTCGTTAGTTTTATTTTTTAACAATTTTGTTGAATTTGTTATAACGAAATCAATAATTTGTGACAGATTAGATCAGCATAAACAAATTCTAAAATTTATACTAACATATTAATTTCGTTTAAATTCGATAAAATTCAAAGTACAATATTCACCAAGCCCTTCGGGCTTGGTGAATTTTGTATTTCTCAGAAGGCTTAATCATGGTATTGACCTCAAAAAACAGCAATAATTGTATAAGTTGACTGGTCGATCTGGTGGAATTGCTGTGACTTTTGGATTGGAGCGACTGATATGGACGAGGAAGGAGTTTTTACTTTGAATCTTCGAACCAATGTCACCGTTCACGGAAGCCAAGTGGTAGAGCGTTCGCTTCGTTATCGGGTGGTCCGGGTTCGATTCTCGTTCGCGTCGCCGCGTCAAACCTAAGACGTAAAAATAGGTAGTGACTGTTCCTTCGCCAAGCGCTCGGCATCAGAAGTGAAAGTCACGGGTCTTTCGGATATTAAAAACGTAGGTCCCATATCAGGGTAGGCGCTGGAACGATAAAGAACCCTTACTGCTCAATGGCCCTGAGTGCCGAGTATAGGTCTAAATTTAAAGCCCTTCACCGGCATACGGTGACGTCTCCATATGAGTGAAAAAAATATTACAATCTCTTTTTTTCTCTTATCGTGTGTTTAGCTTTGTAAGAAATTGGCTTAAAATGTACTTATATGGAGAGTTTTCAAATTACATCTGACATAAGCTAATGAGTTTTGAAATATTCATGAATCGTTAAACATCTTAGAAAATACTTTTCAATACTTTAAAACTATTTTGTTTAGATTATAAATCTGAAAAATTGACTTATTCCGTTAAGAAGTTAAAGATGTTACTGAAGACTCTAACGCATAATATGACATTAAGGCTGGAAGTAATCAAGGTCTTTGTTTAAGACGTTTCCCTTTTTCACTTGTATATAGTGGTTAAAATGAGATGTTTAACATTTTTGAAGCAGTTTCTGTTTTATGAAGTAAATTAATTTATTTATTTTTGGCCATACAATGCATACAGTTGTGTAAAGCAATATGAGTGAATAAACTTTTCTGACCCTTGGGTTTGATACTGGTTCGTTCAACATTCTTTCAGTATTCCTTATTAAATTTTTTTTCAATAAAAAAAACTTAAAATATATCATTTTTTGGCTGTTTGCATAACATGCTTTTAGATTTATTTTTTCCCACAAATTGCTGCATAAAAAAATACTTCCTGGTATA